ACAAACTTTTGACACTCCTTTATATAGATGTTGACACTGACAGATTCTTTTCCAGTTTCTTGATTCCTAGCCTAAAAACACGGTGGCTTCGAGACCAAGCTTGTTACAGTTGTTAGTTAGAAAACAACATTACCTAAGATTATCAAGGGACACCAGTCCCTGGAGAAGAAAGGGCATCATGTTTGGTAAAGGGGCATTAAAAAAAAAAAGGAAGGCCCTCAAGGATATGGACTGACACAGTGGCTGCAACAAGGGGCTAAAGCCTAGGAACAAACAGACCTGGGCAGTGTTTCTGCTGTAACAGGGTTGCTATGAGTCACAACTGCCTCAATGGCACCTAACAACAAAAATTCAAAAAGCAAAGATGTCACTTTGAGGACTAAGGTGTGTCTGACTCAAGCCTGGGTATTTTCAATCCTCTCAGATGCACATGAAAGCTAGACAATGAACAAGGAACAAAGAATTGATGCCTTTGAATTATGATGGTGTTAGAGAATATTTAATACACCATAGGCTTCAGATGATCAAACAATCTGTCTTGGAAGCTCACCCTGCCCTATAAGGTCACTATGGATCGAACGCAACTCAATGGCACCTAACTACAATCATAACCTCCACTGTATCAACCAAACTCCATTTTCAAATTGTTTCCACAAGCTTCTCACCTAATCCAGGTTCTCACAGGAATACTGAGTCCCAGGTGTCTTATTAGACTGGAGCCATGAGCAGTTATCCTTCATACACCTATTATCTCTCCTCCTAATCTTAATCTGATGTCAACCCATATGATCCCAAAAATACTTCAAACTCAAACATCCCAAATAAAAATGTACTACCCACCAGCCCCTACCCCCTCAACACACACACTCTTACTTTTGTGCCAGAATTCCTTAATTACATTAATAAAAACAAACATAAAACACAAACTCACTGCCATAAAGCTGATGTTGACTCATAGCGATCCTATAGAACAGGGTAGAACTGCCCCAGTGAATTTCCAAGACTGTAACTCTTTACAGAAGTAGAAAGCTCAGACTTTCTCCCACTGGCAGAAATCACCTACCTCCTTGGGGACCGCAGCCCAAAGCATAACCACTATGCCACCAGGGCTCCTTATTTACATTAATAGCACTCAAAAAGCTCAAAACAAAACTCACTGCCTTCAAGTCAATACTGACTCATAACAACCAGATAGGCAGGGTAGAACTGTTGAGTTTCCCCTGAGTTTCCAAGATTGGCAACTCTGCATGGGAGTAGAGAGCCTCATCTCCTGAGGAGCAGCTGGTAGTCCTTGGGGTTAGCAGCTCAACACATGAAGACTAAACCACAAGGGCTCCTTTTAATAGCACTTCCCCCCACCAAACGAAAACCCTTTATCATCCAAGACTTGTCTCCCTCATAGCAATGCCAATGCTCTTCTACCTCCATTCCTATGGCCACTTACAATGTGCTAACAATAATAAACTAGCTGTCACTTCACTGACTGCTATGAACTAATCACTTAAAGGAGAACTCTGGTGGCACAGTGGTTAAGTACTAGGACTACTAAACAAAAGGTCAGTGGTTCAAACCCCACCAGCAACTTGGGGGCAGAATGATGTGGCATTCTGCTTCTATAGAGTGCAGTCATTATAGGATTCAATTGTATATGTCAAGGATATCCCAGTAAAAATACTTTTTTTTTTTTTTAAGAGTATATAGCCTTGAAGGCCTGTAACACTGTTCTACTCTATCCTACACAGTTGCTAGGATCAAAATCTGAATTTAAAGGCACCAGATACCAGTCACTTTACACATTTCAACTCATTTCATTCTCAATAATCCTATAAGACAGATGCTTTTCTTCCAGTTTTACAAAGGAGAAAACTGGAGCTAAGATAAAATAATCTATCCAAGTCATAAGTAAGAAACAGCATAGTAAACCTTCAAACTAAAGAATAGTCCATATTTATCTCTAGTCTCCAAAATACTTCTTTTACATGCTATGAGTAGGGAATCAACTCAGTAGCACTAGGCTTGGGTTTTTAATTGTGTGTTTGTTTCTTTACAGGCTAATTTCAACCCTTTACTATCCATTCCAAATGCTGGTTTCTCCCTTAGATTACAGTCAGGATTCTCCTAACTTTTCCCATAAATCAGCAATAAAGCCCACCCTAAATTGTGTCAATCTATTTATTGTCTCAAGAAAGAAAGATGAGACTTTCTATGGTCTTGGAAACCCACAGGGGCAGTTCTACTCTGTCCTGTGGGCTCAATATTGATTTGGAATCGATTGACAGCAGTGAGTGAGTGATTTAGTGTCTACAGGTCCCTGATTGGCATAAATGGTTTGCTCTCAACTAACTTACTAATTGAAAGCTTAGTCATTGGAACCCACACATTGGCATCACGGACATAGTCCCAGGTAATGTTCTCAGAGGGATTACAGCAAAAAGGCATCATTTTCCCACCCCTCCCACCCCCCCCAAAAAATATTCTAATTGCAGGAAGGAGTAGAAAACATAGACAAATGAAACTGGGGAACCCAGGGTTCAGGAAGGGGGAAGAGCACTGTTGTATTAAGGAGATTACAACCAATATCACAAAACATGTTAAATAGGAAACTAATTTGCTTTGTAAACTTTCACCCAAACCACAACAAAAGTTAAAAAAAAGATCAAGCACACTGAACACTAATCACAGATTATGAAAGGGCATCATATACTAAGGAAGTTAAACTCAAAACTCTACCAAACTCACTGCCATTAAGTGGACTCAAGAAAGAAAAGACCAAAACAGTAACAGAAAATGAAAGCCCAAACTCATTACCATCAAGCCTATGCCAACTCATAGAAGACTCCAAAAACTTACTCTTCGTTGTATAAAGGTACCTACATCAAATGAAAGAAATAAAGTAAAAGAACTGAACAGAAAATTTAAAAGGGCAGTTGGAGACAATGTGTTATGTAATGTCCAAAGGACTACAAATCAGAAAACCAAAAGGTAAAGTTGAAAACTGAAGGAAAAAAAATTCAAGCTTTGAGTAGCTGTACTGAAGGATTCTATGTACAAGTTATTGAATGAGGCAAGGAGCATTGAAAGATGAAAGGAATACATAGAGTCACTATTAATATTAATAGGTTCAACTATATCAGAAGGTAGCATACGATGAAGAACCAATAGTACTGTTGGAATAAATTCAGTTGCACTAAAGGTATTGGGAAAACAAGGCTCTAGAACTGACTCCCAATTGAGAAGTTTCAACAAATTGATACAATGTTGGAAGTACTCACTGGTCTACTCCAGGTAAATTGTAAGACAGCTACCTGGCCAACCACACATATGCCCATTCCAGAGAAAGGTGATCCAGAAGAATGCAGAACATATGAAGGAATATCATTAATACGAAAAGCCAGTAAAATTCCCTGTAAGAAATACTATGGACAACTACATCCTGTTCTATAAGGCGTTCAAACTGACCAGACACCACACAACAGCTGATATGTTACTTAATTTACAAACTGCATATAAAATAAACTTCAACTTAGTAAAAAAAATAAATAAAAATTTGCAACCAAGAAAACCCCAAGGAGAAGGTCTACTTTTTAATACAAGCAGTTGTTATGAGTTGTCATCAAGTGTTCCTTTATTGTCTACTTAACTCACTGGCACAATATTTATAGTTTTCACATCAGAAATATTCTGGTTAGCCCAGGACTTCAAACCAGTTCGTTTTGGTTCTACAACTGTTGAAAATTTGCATTTCTACTTAAGATATACTGAATCTGAAACTTCATTTTAGCAATATCCCCAAATGAATTTCATGTATATGTAATCATCACCTGGGGCTCTATAAGAATCATCTGGGGATCTTGTTATAAAATGTAGTTTCTGATTCAGTATATGTGTTAATCCAGAACCTCATGGAGAATTACAATAAGAAGCCTTTCCACAGGGCAGGAATTTTTGACTCAAATTCACAACCGATCTAGCAGCAGCCCATCAATCCAATCTAATTTCTACCAGTCACTTGACACAGCCTTTAGCTCCAGGAATATGGACACATACAGGAATATGGACACATACCTTGAACACACCTTCTAACCTTTCAAAAAACCTACACAGGGGTTTTCTCTTGAAGCTGCCCACCTTACCAGTACCTCAACCACCGCCACAAACAGCAAGTCACAAAATCTGCTCCCCCTATTAGACTAGGAATGAGCTCCACCTCCAATCTATATTTCAATCCTAGCACTACGCCTGAAACACTAGAAGCTCAATAATGTACTGACAGAAATTCACGCTCAGCTCCCCCCGAACTCCCATTGCTTTCAAAGCTCATTTCTCCTTCACTCCCAAACCTTTGGATTTTTCCCTCTCAAACTTCCAGGCTCCTTCCTCACGGCTCCATTCCCATGCCCACTTACAAATTAGTTCCTACTAATAACAAACTAGCTGTCATTTCTTTAGTTAAGTACTCATCTTACCCATTTTACTTCATTTCATTCTCTCAGTAACCCTATTCGGCAGGCAGTCCTCCTTGCCAATGTCATCTCAAAATTACTTTCGAAGAGAATACCCTCTCTTGGACCCAAGCTCTCCTATGTGCCCTTCCTTCTCCTCTATTTAATTCTAGTCCTCTCGTCCCTCCGGGGACCCTACCACCCAAAACGCTTCTCTCGCAAGCTGTTTCGCGAGACCTCTACGCTCATAGATCGGATCCGAAGCAGCGCCAGCGGAGTCCACGCCTTCCCGGCCCGTGTCCACACATCACAAACCTCGCTCGCGGCCGGGGTCCCCTCCCCCGTCTCTCACAGCCGGCACCCCTCCCTGCACTCTCCCCGCATCTCTCGCGGTCCAGCCCCTCTGCAAACCTTCCCGAAGGTCGAGTCTTTCACCCTTCGGACCCCTCCGGGTTGTGCCGATCCGAGCAGCCCGGGACCCGAGCACCTCCGTCCCCAGATCCTCCTCGGCTCCGCAAATCTCCTGCGGCCCAGACGTGGGGCAGGCCTCCCGCTCACCTTGCTGGATGTCGCCGTTGCTGACCCCCGGGATGGGCACGTTGAGCTGGCGCTCGGGCTCGGGCAGGCAGCGCAGGCAGAAGGAGTGGAGACAGGGCAGCAGCTTGGGCTCCGCCTCACGCCGGCTCTGCAAGCTCTGCTGACACACGGCGCAGGTGTCCAGGAGGGAGGCTGGCGGTGCAGGCGGCGGCCCGGCCG